CACGAATCCATTTCAATACATCCAGGAAGCTCCTTATTCGAGAAACGCCTTTAAAAACTTTGGCTAGCTTATAGAAGTAAAGTTGGTGATGGATAATATTCCAAATAAACCAAGGAGCTTAGTATCATTACAATACTCCATGAAGGAGTCTAAGAAAGCAGTGAGGGAATGCATGGCAAGTTTCTGGAAGGCAGAGCAAGTTTTGTAGAGTTTGCAAAATCTAGAGCTGAACTTGAGCAAAACCTCAGATAGAGCGCAATTTAACCCCTTCAGTATCAGGGTTCTATAGTGGATAATAGGATACCAAGAATATGTTACTAGACTCTTGAGTGCTAATTCTTCCACTCTAGTAATTTCCTTCATTAATATAGTATATTTGGTTGGCAGGATTAGGCAAAACAAGGAAGAAAAAATAAGCTAAGAATTCTTGGTTCATTTTATACTATTCATATACCCTAGCACTATGTACCAAATATTTATCAAATGTCCTTTTTGATGTATTGCCAAATGCAATTACTTGACACGGTATCTGCCTGGAGAGGGTGTCCTTGATTATAGGAGGGCTCCATGGAAGACTTCAAGGTGATCAACTCAACCTTCCAACTTGTGAAACCATCATCAAACAATCCCTTTTGCACAATCTGAAGGCAGTAATCTCTAATTTGAAATTTCCCACAACATATGGGACTGGCAAAGTTGAGGAAAGATTGGACTTTGAGATCAGAGTTATCTAATATCGATGCACACTCATTTCATCCCCATGGAGAAGGGAGATGGTGTATTTACCACAACTTAAACTGTCTTGAGGCATTTTGACGAGGCGGTTGGGCTGTGCCTCCAACCCCCTCAAAGTTGTGGTTGACGAGGCGATGGGATCCCCCTTCATTGCCTCAAATGATAAGTTAAGGGCCTCAAAAAATCTTCGTGGTGCTTCGCTTATCTGAAAAGTGTTCTCACTTTATGTCGATTATTCTATATTCACTCTTGAATCAACGAGTCTTTGAAAATGTTATTTTTCTGGATGCTTCTGCTACATCAGTTTGGGTTTTGGATGTTAGGTACCAAAAATTAATCAAAGGCGAGGTCTCATATATTAGGATTTTATACGTATAGGTTGAGCATTTGTATGCCCGTGGAGAGGTTTCATATATGTAGAGCTCGGAGGAGAGAGAAGGCGACGACTTGTTGGCCATGCCTCCATGTCCACGGTGATATTTACATCACGATTATGAATAAACACCTTATCTAATTACTGTTACTGTTGGGGTTCATATCCTAGATTTGAGGAAAGGTACGTTAGAAGAGGTTTTCGACCATACTCCCTATTCATTTAGTATGAAATGAGCTATTGTGCTTTTGCCAAGCCGAAGACAATGGTTGACGACTGACTTGTGGAATTGGACTAGTTGATTTCTGGGCATGGCTCGTCGTGTCCGATATAGCGCGTTCTAGAATGTTACGAACTTTTGTTGAAATAATTAATTAAAATATAACTATTTTACAATTATTTGCATACAACATTAGAGATATGCCATTCCCACTAAATAATGTATTTAATCCACACTTAACTATGACAAATTTTTAAGAACATCTTGATTCTATCGAGAGCATCTTTAAATTTAAAGCATAAATTTTCGTACACCCTAACAAACTCATTTAATGTTTTCCATAATTTTTAATTAATATATTTGTACATTTCAATAGCTAAAATATGCAATACAATATAAATAATTTAAGTAACTGAACATTGAAATTTGCAATTTTTTACATGCAATCTTTAAAAAAATACAAATCGAGTGTATTTGTTGTAGAGAGTCTTATAAGTTAAAATACTCTCAACACATAACTTAAAATTTGACTATTTAAAATAAGAGTAATGTTATTTAGCATCATTGGTATTAGACCACTAGTCTAGATGACACTAATGTGACATTAACTAATAAGTACAATTAAATGAATCTGTTGACACACTAAAAGTGCAGCCCAAATTAAATAGTCCAAAAAGTGAGGTCTAATTGGAGAGTCCAGGATAAAAACCCAAATAAGGTTATTGGTGAATGTAGAGGAAGCCCACGAACACAATAACATTATCGCCCAAGCCTGCAAGACGCCCGAAATTTGAGCGAATGGAGTGCCTTACGGTCGCCCTGATCAACAACCTCGTTCTCGCCCGAACCTTCGAGTCACCCAGAATCTTAATACATGAAATATTATGGTCATCCGGAATAGCAGTTACTGAAACAGTTATCAAGCAGATTATCACATTCCACGATTTAAGGAGCCCATTTGAAGATAGTTGAACGACAAAGAGTAATGACAGCAGTTAGAGATGGTAGTTCCACGACAAGTTAGCCACCATAAAGAAAATGGGTAGTTAGAAAGCAATCAAACAGTTTTCAAGCGGTTTGTCACGAAAAAATAATCATGGGAATATAAAAGGAAAAAAAGACATAGAGGAAAAGACCCCAAATCAAACACTCTCAAACAGAGAATATATAATTTCAATTTCTTATATTAACTTTAATTATCCATTTTCAGTACTCGTGTGATTGCGCCCCTTAGAGACATTTTGTTTATTTTCAATTGTAACTCTCATCAATAAAGCACCCCTTTTTGGGATTTTGTCTCAAAAAGTTTGTCCCTTACACAATAGTCTGAATTTCCTTTTTTAATTGTTAGTGACAATCCACGCGAAACAGAATCACTTGATTATACAATTAATTTATCATATCATATAATGTCACACACACTGATATTTTAGCACCAATGACGATATATAAAATTATTTTTAAAATAAATAACGTCTCACTTTTTAAAAAAACCTATAAAAAACGCTCTAATCAACATATGTTGCGTTTCTAATGGAATAATTAATTTGTGAACCAAAGCACCACGATAATATCACCTTATAATTTCATTCATGGATGGCGCCCCGAATGGCTCAAGAGTCAAGTCATCCACTGGGGTTCACTATCCAATCAAAATTAAGGTGAACTATTTTTGCCATCCATTGAAATAAATTAACTTAGTCCTTAAGTTACAATAACTTTTTGGCAGTCTTTGTCCTAAAGCATTTTAAATGCACTAGTGTTTTACCTAAAAATCACCACTTCTATAATTAAAAAAAATAAACTAGTCACTCAATTGTGAAGTAGGCTTCAATAAGGAATAATGCCATATGTCCCAGTGGAAATCGTCCACAAGTGATGTGACAGTGTTGCGGTGAAATTATAAGATGTGTTGGCAGCCTTTAGCCCTATTAGACAATCATTATCCGCAAATTCTTTTTTTTACGTATTCATTTTCAATTATTTATCCACATGATAGAATATTCAGTACGTAGATAGTCATTATCAACAAATTATAAGATTTGATTTGTTATTTAGACCGCGTCCGATAGAGATTAAAATAAGATTAAAATTAAAAAACTAGTCGTTATGTTGACTTTTATTAGACGAGTGTTGCCCAATAACATCTATATTTTCAATTTTAATTGAATTTTAAGCTTAACCAAACATGCTCTTAGTTTTTTTTTAATTTTATTCAAAATTACTATTTTACTCATTTTAAAATTTGTCAAAGTCAATTTATCGGGTCAACTAACGGTCGAACTAATAGAAACCATCCATTTGAACCCCAAGTGCTAATTTTTGAAAGGTTTGGGATTGCGGGTGGCACAGAGTGCCTTAAGGTAAAATATGCAAAAAAGTGATAGATTTGGAACCGCTGCTCAATTATCCCAAAACACTGTTTTTGAATCCATGTTCTAAAATGCACCGTCTAAGCTCCCCTAGGCGCGACGCGGGTCGAAAACGCTTCGAATTCGGGAAATGCCCGAAAAATGCGTTTTCCATCTAAAAGGCGGGAATAATGCGCGCCTAGACGAGCATTATCCCGCCTTATCCCCCTTTTTTATTCTATTTTTTAATATAAAAATATATTTAATGTCTTAAAAATACGAAACGCATTATTTCCCTTATTCTAGAGATGTCAATCAAGCCGAGCGGCTCGTCGGCTCGTACTGTTCATGCAAACGAGCCGCTCGGGCTTGTCAAAAAAGAGCCCGAGCTCGAGCCGAGTGGACAGCTACGTAGACGAGTTGAGCTCGTGGGCTCGTGAAAAAACATTTACAAAATAAAAAAAAAAACTAAGAAAAATAAAAAAAACAATTTTTTTTTTTACGAGCGAGCTCGTGGGCCTAGCCTAGCTCGCCCACGAGCAAACGAGCCACAAGCGGCTCGGCTCCTCGCTTGTTTCTCTACGAGCCACGAGCCTGAGCCGAGCTCGTGGCTTAAAAGGCTGAGGCTCGACCCATTGACAACACTAGCTTATTCTTCGCATTGACAAGCCTAAACTTGTGATTCTTGATTTTCGAGTTCGACGTATCGCAACGCATTACGCATTTTAGAACACTGGTTTGAATAATATTTTTTGAAGAATGTGTGATTAAAAGTACGAAAAAATTTTGAATTTACATTTAAAATATTCTATTGTGTGAATATGTAATTGAAAATAAGTATAAGAAATAAATTAAAGTAAATTAAAGGATATCAGACGGGCTACACAGAAACTCTCTTACTTGATCTCATCATCTAACATCATACCATATAAAAACCCTTGCGTTCCTTGTCAGTAAGACATCCATTTGATTTAGTTTTCTAGATTCTACATTTAGTTAAATATGAATTATGGGTCTATTTCTCTAGTCTAGATTCTGAAACTAATAATTCTCAACCCATAAAAGAAATCCAAAATTAGGCACCAATGCGAGCAAGTTGGCAATGCAGACCCCACAACAGTAGCAAAAAAGTGTAAGGCCTAATTAAAGAAGCAATAAACCTTTGTGATAAGCACTAGCACTAACAATCTTACCACCAGCAGCTTGCACTAACTTGTCCTTGTAATCATTCACTTCATTTCAAGCCCATAAAAAAGGCATATCACACACAGAATTCCAACCACCATAGCCATTTAAAAACATGTAGAGAATACAGGCAACTATGAGAAGAAACCTTGGAAACATGAAGAAAAGGTCGCGGGTCGTAGACGAGAACAGCTTCCACAATCTGGATGAGCTGCCACATATCGATATGGAAAGAAGAAGATCTAGAGGAGGATGGCACAGTAATGGTCTGGCAGCTGCTTTGTATTGCATTATACGCACTCCGTTTTCATTGATTTCATGTCTGTTGAACCCTCAGATGAATGGCACTGATGACATGTGGATGTCTGCAGAGCTGCCACGGATTTCAGAGGTGAATCATCTCATGGTTAGAGACAGCATGCGCTATGCCATTTTGATGTGAAAATACTGTAAGAAAACTATGCACACAACATGGTTCAGGAATAGATGTTTGATGCATTTTTGCTGGTTTCCAGTTTGCATCCATAGTCTCATGTACTTAAATCTTGCACTTATCCACGCATATAGGAGTTTAGGCATGGTCATCATAAGCAGATCTCTCTCTCTCTCTCTCGACGCGTGCGCGCACAATATATACTGTAAAAGGCTGATAAGAAAATATAAGATGCATATTTGATGGAGATGGTTTGGCCTAATGAAAATTAAGCTAATCGAATGCCTGATTTTGCAAAATTCTGTGTTGTAATAAAAGAATTTTAAAGCCAAATAGTTTATTCCTACAACAAACAACACAAACTAAGTGTGTTATGTGAGGGATTGTAAGTAGAAGGTTAAAAGGAGTACATGTTGGTAAATGTATGAAGAACCCTGTACATAAGAAGGATGTCTTTTCTTTCTTTTTTCTTTTTTTTTTTTCCTAATAACCCTTCATTGGCTACTCACGTCCCGTTGAAATTTTGCGTGGAGCCACCTCAAGAACTCGTCTCGTTGTAGTTGTTCCTAATTACAAGAACTTCTTCCTCAAGTCATGAGTCGAGCTACTTGTCCCACCATTAGGTAATCTTATCTTGGTAGTTGACCATGGGGAGAGTTGAAATGTTCTTATAGCACTTGACCTGATCTCCTACTAGGTCTTTCACTTCAACCCTTCTACATGTATTGAGGCCGAGCACGACCTTGGCCCTAAGTCATAGAGATCCCCCAGTAACCTTTTCACTGACCCCCTCCAAGCCATATCATCATGTTGAGGCCCGTGTTGCCACATAGCACACTTTGAATAATGACGTCGTAGTTGCCCCTCAGGTCTAAGCAATGCAGTAATGCCTGGTCGAGCTTGATTCTAAAATGGCAATTCATGATGTGAAGGTTGTGACAATTCTTGTATTGTGGTGGAAGAAGGCTTTCTCTGGTCGTCACCTTTATTCTAGGCATCAGATAGCTTACGATCAGCAAGTCTTGCTTAAGAGATCATTTCATCTCTATGCATCTAACAGCTTACGAGCTGCAAGATATGAACAAGGATTATTAATATCTTTGCTTTTAGTCAACTCAACAGATGACTTGGAGCTTTCGGCTTTCTTATGTCACTGCTATTGTTCTGCTCGTCAGGCAGTCTTGAGCTTTTGCTCTGCGTGAGTCATCTTTCAAGGAGCAAGATTCGTGCAAGGAAAGCTTTTCATTGAGCTGCAAAACTTAAACAATAGAAGCTTGCTCGCATATGTCAGTTGCTTTTGCTCAACATCACTCTCCAAGCCACAAACACTTGAACAAGTTCACTGATTTGTATACTTTTTTTAGGCTTTACTCAAGCTAGATCTTTACTTGGCCCCTGATCCATTCTCCATCATTGCTACAGAAAATTATTCCCTTCCCTTACCTAGAACACGCTTGTGCTATGTTGATAATGGGAAAATGTTACTTTTCATATCGGAACCCTTGCAAAGTATATTTTGTCCGCAGCATTTCAAATCTCTTCCAAGTAATTTCCTTCGAATTCTCCACCATCATGTGTATATAAGAAATAACCTAAACTCGATCACATGGTTAGTTATCAAATACTCTGTTTCGGCATCATCAAAACTAAGGTGAAAGGTTAGGCTAACAAACTGCATTCATGACAATTTTGGAGGCTCTAAATCTTACAGAGACATGTATCATGCAGAAAATATAGAGTTAAATAAAAAAGAGACAAAATTCTCCTAAAATAAAACATATTACTTTTCCAAGTGAAATGGTGCGGGGCATGCTACAATCAAAACCAAAGGGTCAAGACTAAAGGTCGTCGAAGATTTGATGACAGAAATTACACATACATACTTGTTATACAAAAATAAATAAAAGCATTGTGTATTGAATGAAGATAATTACACAAAGTGTAAAAAATGCAAGATAACATACTTTCATACAAGATTCTGGATCTCGATTCTTCCCAAAAATGCTCTCTCAGATGCTCAAACACAGCTTTCTCGCCTGTTTGCTTGAATGAATACTTGTTAAACAAAAGGTAAACATACAGCATACCAACAAACCAATTTTCTACAATCGTGATTACCAATTTGAAGATCAGTTTCCCGTCTTCCGTTGAATTTGCTTGTAGCATCTACAGCATTCAACTGAAGAGTATCCAACAAACCAGCATTTTCTCTTTGGCAATTTCCCTAGCTTCCTCAGGAGAACAACTCCTGTCAAATTTCCAATATCAGAAACACATATTGCATTTTACAGCAAGGTGGCTATCTTGAAAATTTTGATGCAGACACACACTGAGAAAAATGAATTAATTTGCAGATTGTTTTAGCACAATAATTTGGTTTTGATCTTGATTATAAATTTTGTGAATTGGTAAAAATTGCTATCCTAATAATGTACCTCCCCTTTTTCAAGCACATGTGATGCAGATACTAGAAACTTGGAATGAATCCAATCACCCAGATGCTCCACCATCTGGACTTCTTGATAAATTGGAGAAAGCACTACAATTCAACTTAAAACCTGAAATCCAATTACGAAACTACAATATTTTATTGGGAACAACTTCCAAAGCACCGTGAACCTTGAATGTCCCTTAAAGGACAGACAAGAAGTGATTATTTCCTTTTTTTGTGGACAACTATCACTGTTTGAGCCCCGTTTTTATTTTTATTTTTTTGCCGAAAATGCATTTTGTAACAATGTTTTGATGGAGAATGCGTGGTTAAAAAATAAGGAAAAGTTCTAAGTTTGCATTTAATATTATTTTATTTGGAAATAATGGGGACCAAACAAGACCAACTTGCATAATTGCATGAAATCGAGTTCTCTGGAACAATTTGGATGCATAAAAATGTCAAAGGGCAAAATTGAGTTCTCTGGAATTTGGATGCATGAAATCGAGTTCTCTGGAACACTTCAGCTTCAAATTGGAAATAATCAGTATGGCAAAGGGCCCTAAACATTTGAGCGTCTTTTGTTAAGGAGATACAAGATCAGTGAGTAACCCTAATTAAGCTTATTTACATACCGATTCCCAAAGTTGCTTCCTTATTGACAGACCTCCAAGATGTCATCCAGTCATAGTAATGTTAAGGATATGTGTTGGGAAAAAACCCAATAATATGCTTGTGCATTCAAAGGATAATGTTAAAAATCACAGATGCAGAAGATTTTGGTACACTAAATTCCCACTTAAATTCATGAATTCTAGAGATTAAGACCTAAACAAATTTAGACATGAGTGCAAAGAGGTGCCCACACACCAGAATTGGACGAATTCAGTTCATTTTGGAGCATCACACAGAATATTTTGCATTTGTATCTTCATCTTTGAGATACAATTCTCTTTCCTCTAATATTTATTATAAGCACGAATCCTAATAGCCTTCGTTGGACGTCCACAACCTAGATTATTACTAAGAAAAGTGGAATTAAAAGACGATGTATTGGAGGAAATGGAAAAGGAATAAAGAAAGTTCGTGTGATTGGAAAATACAAGGGGGAAGATTTTAGCAATGATTGCTAAACCAACTGCAGTTTATGGTACTTATTGTCGGACTAAAGAACAAAGCGCCTATAAGCCGAATATAGAATAAATGATGGATGTATGGCTACAACAGAATGGATAAACTAAGAAAGGCATCCAACGTAAAACTATAGGGGACGTGCCGCGAATTGTTAGGCATCCAACGTAAAACTATAGGGGTTGCAACATATTTCCTGTGTTTATCAGCGTGCAAAAATGAATACCAACTCATGTAATCAATCATAAAAAAGTGAAAAGTTTAAGCGTAGTTAAAGAATGAACAGTAACGATTAAATCTGCAACTAATACATTTTCAGGATCCTGAGGTTGAAAATCATAAACCAAAGCCTGCAAAATTAGGGCAGTAAAAAATCATCGGCATTAGGCCATTTGTAAATGTAAATCGTCGGCATTAGGCCATTTGAAAACCCCCCACATATTGTAATGTAAATACTACTAAAATCAAATGAGAGCGACGACATCAGTACATTGATAGAACCTGAGAATTTAGGAGATGTGACGGGTTTGATTGTGACCATATAATGCTGCAAATCCCAAAACTTGAGAGAGTAAGTAGTTGAAGTAAACAACTGGGCAGGCGCTCTTGTCGCTCTCAGGGGCACCGCCGCTATGTATACTTTATCTCTGCCGCTCGTGAGTTGTGACTGTCGGCGTTAAACTCGAAGCTGTGCAGAAGAAGGCAGATTAATGTAATGAATTGTCGAAATCAATAGGCTTCAAGGAGTTTTTCTTTAGGGTTATGCTACAATGCGAGAAGAAGGATATTGCTAGAAACTCACTAGATACTCACAATGACTTTTAATAATATAAAATTAGCTTATGTTAAAGTACTATTTTATCCTTACTTTCTTTATTTCCAAAATATACCCTATATCTTTTAATTGTTGGATTGTTCAGGGTTTTTTCTTATAATTCTCTCGTTAGAATCGTAGGTTCTCATAACTAATCCCGGGAATCTAAGTTTAGTATTTTCTTGAAACCAAATCAAATATTGTTGTTGATCGTATTGGTGATACCTTATAGTTTTTAAGATTTTATCACTTCTTTCTATATTATTTTCTATTCTAAATTCTTCAAGGAATTTTCTAATTTCTCTAGATCTTAATTCACTGATATTATCTTGGATTTTTTCAAATCTTTCAATATTTTCTCTTTCATCTTGATTCATTAATCAGAATTTATACTATGTTCCTTTAATCTTTCTATTTATTCTAAATATTCTTTATATTTCGTTAATTTTTTCAAAAGCTTTAGGTTGATTTTCTTCAGTTATATATCCAAAAACAATTCCTTCTGAAACTCCATCTTTTATATTTTTGTATTTAACTATAACATCTTCAATCTTCTTTATTTTTTTACTAGTTTCTACAGAATCAATTCTTATATTATGTTTACAAGCATAATCTATATCACAATATATTTCT